TTCTAACAGGAACTGAGGAAATTTTTTTTTGCTTTTAGCAACATTGCAAATTCCCTCAAGAGATTTGCAAAGGAGTTTTTTAAATTGCAAAAGTAATGAGGAAAATTGCAATCAATTTAGAAACTCAAAAGAGGAACGCTTCACGTAGTTTACCTGTAACTACACAGTGATTTTCACGGAGTTGATTCATCTCCGAAAATGCAGTTAAATCAACAGAGGCAGAATGACACCAAATTCAGAGTTGTTTTAACTCTGCATAATTAGTATGAGTTATTTTAAATATTTACTGGAGTTAATATACGACTCCCAAAATGGAGATTATTGAACGGAATGATTCAGTTATTCCAAACTCAGTTATTTCAACTCCTCCAAAATAGGAGTTGGTTTCACTCCGTTGAAGAAGTTGATTTCACTACTATTGCAAAGTTATAATAACTCTTGAGAGACGAGTATAGTTTCAACTATATGGCTATGCGAGTTGTTTTTAGTCCATTGTGAGGCGTTGTTGTAATTCCAAGGGCTAAAACAACTCTGAATAGGCAATTCCAGCTTTTAGTTTATGCGTGCAGGGGATGATGGGAAGTAAGGTATCATGTCGCTGACTATGCTGAAAAAATAAAAATAGTGCTCGCGTAAACACGGAGTGATAGCTTATACTTGTAAATATTGGATTATTTCGGTTGTTTCGGCAGCATAATCAGCAACATGATACCTTACTTCCCATCACGCCCTGCGCGCATAAGTTAAAAGCTGGAATTGCCAATTTGGTGTTCCATTTTCGTAAAATTCACTGTGTATAGTTAATTAACAGTTTAGACAATTTGGAGGCTTTGAAACTGATGAGTGAAAGTTATATATGTATTAAACAATTACAACTGCATCAGCTTTTTTCACAAAGAAGTACCATCGCGTTGCATGCTGTCAGGAAATATCATATGCACCAATAGAAATTATTAGTAATTCAAAAAGTCATTAATAATTCATGAAGCAATTATCCAATCTTCAGTAAGAAATTAGTCACGTGCATACGTCTTTATACCAGCTAAAGAACACTTTAACAAAAGACCATTGTTATGCAAACTATATAAAGATTTTTATATAAAGATTTTTATAGTATAGATTTTTATATAAAGATTTGGCTTATTATGCAAACGTTTTTGAAGCCATTTAAAAAACTCCCAGGTCGTGTTTTATTAGGTCTAAAGCCACTCCCGCTGCGCGCTCGTGGCTTTAAACCTAATAAAACACTCCTGCTCGTTTTTTAAATAGTACTTAAAGGCGTTCTTTATATATACCTTTGCGTAGCTATAGATACACACAGAAACTTAAAGTGGCACTCGCGTCAAAATTTTTCTTTTCTTTTCTTAAAATGCTCTTAAAACTGTATAGTAACTTGTTTCGAAGATTTTTGTTCCCATACTTAGTTCTTGAGATATTTCATTTTGTTTGTCAATGACTCAATTACATATATAATGAGACATCAGTAATTGTTGTGTATCTTTGCTGTTTTTGATGGATTTGTTTAAAAAAACTCAGTATGCTTAGTGATGTAGGTTAAACTAAGAAACGCGCTGCATCTTTGAAAAGATTTGATAAAAAATAGCAAAGATACACAACAATTACTGATATAGTGATATCTTATTATATATGTAATTGAGTCATTGACATCACATGGTTACAAACAAGAGAAAATATCTCAAGAACTAAGCATGGAAACAAAAACCTTCAAAACAAGTTACTATACAGTTTTAAGAGCATTTTAAGAAAATAAAAATTTCGACGCGAGTGCCACTTTATTAAATCATACACATAACTCAATACTGTCCTTTTATTTATTTAGTTACTTCATAAGAATCATAAGTTAAATTTAAATGGACTTTGACTCTTCCGTGCGTAAATGTACTACTGCGGATAAGAAAACCACTTAATATAACTGTAATGATTTTCAAGCGCTTCAAGGGAAATTTTTTATACATTTAATTAAGGCTAAGGGCTTAAATTAAGCGGTTCTTTTTTCTTCACGTTTTGTGCCAATATTGCAATATCCAAAATCATGATAGGTTTGACAGGTTACTACAGGAGAAGCTATAAAAGCGGGAGTACGTCGCAGACGCGGGAATGAAGAAAAGCTATACCAAGAAGACAAGACAGTCTGAAGAAGTTAACGCATCAAAGAAATAAACTGTGCAACGTATTTTGAAGGTTTGTTTCAATGCTGCATTCATATATTTCAAGATTTTCTGAAACTAGTTCATTTTATTTTTCTCTGTGGGCTGTTGGTGCAGTATATGTTCCTTTCATGGCGCAGGTGGCGTAGTCGCGTCAGAGGAAGCGCGTTTCACTTACGAGATCGTGGCTTAATTCGATTCTCTCATTGTTCCTACATGTGAAAAGAACACAGTTAGGAAAGTATAATATCACAATTGTTGTAGAAGATAAAAGAGTCTACGCTATTAAATTAAGTATATGTAATTTGGTAAGCGAAATATACTTTATGTATTTAATCACATCCACATGTGAACTGATTTGCGCTATATAGAATCTTCCGTGACTGCATGGTTAATTTCTTCAAATAAAGCAGTTTTCGTAGTCGTTTGACTCTATTAAATGTGTTTTCGGGTAACTCCGCGGTTTCCTGCTGTAGTAAAATTGGACCGTTATAAGAAATATTATTTACTGGATACCTGCATGGGAAGGAAATTCAGACAGTATTCCACCAACAAGTTACTATAAAACTTCTTGCAACTGATTATAGGTGCTTCTTCCGAAATTGGAATTAATTAGACATGCGATTCTATATATATGCGTCTGGGTTGTTAACCTTATCATAGGACCGAGACTTTGTCTTGCTAAAACGTTATAATGAAAATTAAAATATTTTTGTATATAGAAAAAAAAATTACAATTACAAATAAGTGTCCACGGAATCTTTGCCATGCTTACATGCAAAAGTTACATTATATCTTACATTATCTTACATTACAGTTATATCTTGGGAAATGTCTACATGGTTTGCTTAAGGCGTGTTATCGCTTGTTTTTTTTTAGTTATGGCAACAAAACAAAAATTTGTGTTTGTCTTCCTTTACTGTTTTGTTTTGACAATCATTACTGTGCCTGGGAATGCGCAGCCAGTGGTCGAATGCGTACGTGCCTGTCTTGTTCGTGTTAATATATGTCGAGCATCTTGCAACTTCTTCCCAGAACCTTTTAAAACAATCTGTTTAAATGCTTGCCAACAAGCACTACATACTTGTACAAGGTTATGTGTCCCTCTGGTTCGATGAGAAAACAGGACTACAAGCTTGTTTAAGGTTCTGTCTCGTTCGTAAATAGTTTTCTGGATGAGGAACCGGACGACTACTTTGGTGAAGATATCTTTGGCAAATAAAACTATAAACTATGGCATTAGAATGATTGGAAAAATAAGACTTAATCTTTATAGTTTATTATATAGACATTACATATATAGATACGCAGTGTTGTAGAACGTATAATCTTAGAAGTATCAGTAACTTTACATTACAAATGGAAAAATTATTAAATACAAATTTTTGTTTTTAGATAATAAATTTACAATTACAAATATAAGTGTCCATGGAATCTTTACCATGCTTAGATTATTGCAGTTATCTTGGGAAATGTATATTGGTTTGCTTACGGCGTGTTATCGGGTTAGCACTTTTTTCCATCCAGCAAACCGCCCTATCGATTTTCTAAAGTAGTTTTTTTAAACTTTTTTATTAATTCGATTAGGGTTAGAGTTAGGGTTGCGGTTAGGGTTAGAGTAGGGGTAGGGTTTGGGTTAGTTACATAGCCATTTAACACCTCTTCTATCTTCCGAAAATGACGTCAGGTCAGTTTGCTGGATGGAAAATAGTGCTAACCGTGTTATCGCTTGTTTTTTTTTTTAGTTATGGCAACAAAACAAAAGTTTGTGTTCGTCTTCCTTTGCTGTTTCGTTTTGACAAGCATTATTGTGCCTGGGAATGCGCAATTGGCTTGATGCCGACGTTCCTGTCTTGTTGGTACAAATATCTTTCGAACATTTTGCCGCACTATCCCAGCAATACTTCTTGAAAGTAAGTGTTTAATTGGTGTGAATGCAGGACTACTTGCGTGCAGAAGTTCCTGTGTCGTGCCTACGTAGTGTTCTGGATGAGGAACCGAAAGACTACCTTTGGTGAAGATATCATTGGAACTGAATAAAACTATAAGCCACTTTCTTTAATATGGTATTAAAATCATTGGAAAAAAATTACTTAATTTTTATAGTTTATAGACATTATAGACACGCAGTTTTGTAGGACGTATATAATCTTAAAAGCATGTAATCAAGTACATGATCAAATAAAGTTTTCATTGAAGCAGTCATGTTTTGCTGAAAAGTTGACTTCACGCACTCTTTGCAAATATCAACATTTGGAGGGTTGTGTGTGTGTGTGTGGGGGGCGGGGGGGGGTTGACCTGTTTATAATTAAGTGAATAATTACCAGTGTTGTACAAATTACTAAAATAAAGTAATGAGTAGAAATTAGAATTACTTCTGCTAAAAAGTAATTGATTAGATTATAACTTACTTTACTAGAAAAAGTCATTTATTACCATGTACTAATTACTTTTCAAAAAGTAATTAATTACCAATTACTTTCAAAATTACTTTTCATTTTACTTTTTGTATTTAAATCATGCTTACCGCTTTCGCCTTTCACACTGAGGAAAATTTCATGGCGGGAAATTGAAACAGACATAATTGATTAACCATATCAATACATGAAGTAATGGTGAACGATCACGCGGCATATTTCATATACTGCAGGCTTATTTGAAAGATATTTCAATTTTGTACTTTTCAGATTATGTGCAATGAACGTTGTGAGAGATTGAAGTAAAATTGAAAAGTAACGTGACGTTACTTTAAGAAAATTTCACTCGTTACCTTCAAAATGTAATTAATTACGTTACAAATTACTTCAGCAAAGAAAGTAATTAATTATACCATCAAAATTACTCAAAAAGTAATTTGTAATTAGTAACGCGTTACTATTGTAATGAGTATTTACAACACTGATATTAACTACGAATTATTAAAATAATATTAGACATACACTATGACGGCAGACTTGCCACAAGTCGCCCCTGCATGGGTTAGAAATTGGTAAAAGGATACTTTTGACTTTGGAAAATCTATAATGCCTTATGTTGTGCTTATTAAAGTACAGTGAAAAGTTCAACGCATAGAAATACTAGATATTCGCAGTTCAATAAGCTTTTTTTATATTATTTTATAATAATTACTTTTCATATTTTTTTCTTAAGTTATATAAGTTATGAACTATGATTTTGTATGCTGTTTTATGAGTAAATTATGTTTATATATGTTTAAGCGAAACTGCTTTGTTTTTACAAGGCTGCACAAGGTTGCACAACTGATGTAGCACATACATTTGCTTTGTGCATTCAAAGGACTTAATATTTCAAAATCTATCCTCAAACTACAAATTAGAGAGCAACTGTAAAAAACGTTTTGACGATGAAAACTTAGTTTTTGCTCTGTTTATACTTTGGACTTTTCACTCCTAGTCAAATTCAATACGGCGGATTTAAAAGGGCATGAACGCATAGGAAAAAGTTTAGACATGATTCGTGATCAAGTACGCATTCTATATCTATTATTTATATGTTTCAACGCAACACAGTATATCTTCACAAATCGGCTTATTTTTAAAAAGCCGATTAAAAAACAAAAAACCCAGCTCAAGTGCATAAATATAAGATGATGTTCAAAATAACAATACCCTTGTTTCTTACAATAAATTAAACTGTAGAGCTGCTAGGATCATCCCCAGTCTGTTCAACATCCTCAGACAATCTCTCCCCTCTCTTGGCTTTCTTTCTTGCAGCTAAACGTTCCTTAAGCTTCTTCTCCTTGCCTTTCTCGTCCAGACGTATTGATTTTCTTCTGTCTATACTCGCCATGTCTTCGTCGTCCACGCCAGAGTACGAGGGAAGAATTGGAGGAGACTGTAGCTACGGCACGCAAAATATACAATTATTACATCTGACCAGGAACGGTTGCGCAAAGTGCAACTATCGACAGTTGTCGAACTCGAAAAAACTAGAAATACCTTTTTTTATGTTGAAAGCTCTATCAATTCTAATCTGTTCTCCGGAAAGGTCGACGAGGGATCATCATTATTACAGGAGGAACCGTAAACTGTAACATTTTTGCTGAAAGCTTGATCAGTTCCAAACTGTTCTCTCTATAGAGGTCCAGTATGGCTATTTTTATTGACCATATGGGCCGGTTGTATCATGAAAAGCCCGTTTAGCTTGAACGGTGGTTTTAAGCTCAAAATAGAAAGCAAGGTTGCAGATTCATTCAACAACCAAACTAAAAATTTTGAACCTTAATAGAACGATATTGTTTGCAACTACATATTCAGTGCAGAATATTTAAGTTAACTGATTCACGAGAGATATAAGAGTGTTAAGCTAAACGGGAGATATAAGAGTGTAAAGCTAAACGGGCTTGATACAAAATTGGATTGTAAAATAACTGGATAGGAAACTTCCTGACGTCACAGTCTAAACCTAGTTGCAATCTGTGACGTCACGTGTATTGCCAAAGTTCTCGGCATTTTTGTTCTTTCGCTATATTTTCCGCTTTAAAAGAGTAATATTGAAGCATAAACTGGTCTAATTGTTTTAAACTGGTCTAATTACATTTGTAGCTACGAAATTGGCGTCGCCAATTTTAACGAAATTTGCGATGCATTTTTCACTGTTTAGTGCTTGAAATATTTGCTAAAATTGACTGGAAATACTTAGAGATTTCATCGTAGAATGGCGTAGTTATATTTATTTGCTCTTTGACTAAAATGTTTAGCTGTATTATTGCTAAACATGCCGTTTTTGAGAATTTGGTTTGCAACTAGGTTTCAACATCCAACCACGCCATCAACCCATTGAAAGCATTAGGTCACGTCAGCTAGTTTCCTATCCATTTATTTTATTATCCATGATACAACCGGCCCCATATCTTTTTATTAAAGGTTTATTAAGAAACACATTTTAGCACCCGAAGGTGAATTGCAATATGCTTACAGAAACATAATAAAAGATGAATATCAAATAATATAAAATATAAATATATTAAATATAATATATTTGTTTTAAAAAGAAATTCTTACCGTCGTGCTAACTCGTCGTTCTTCCACTTTGAATTTCTGTTCCATTTTCGCCGCAATCAATTTCATCTTCTCTTCAGCGTTCAAGCCCTCGGCTTCCTCTTGTGTTAACATGTGATCAAATCCTTTCGAGTCGGACTTTGGCTCTTTCATTGTCATCGTGCGTTCGTGTCGTACACGCGAGATTCTGTCACGCACCAACGTCAGCTGTCTCTCGCGCTCCTCCTGTACATTTTAGTAGAGACCGATTTTAAAGGACAATGGCAACAAACTTTTTATTGTCTCACTTGAAAGTGCGTTTAAAATTATCTATAAATCTTGTTACAGATTTTTCAAATCGAGTTTAAAACTAGTTTCTGTTATACACACGTAAAAAACGCATTATAATGTTATGCACAAATGTAAAAAACGCACAAGTTGTAACAAACCCGCAGCAGACATGTAGCAATGCTGTTCCAACAACTTATCAACAGGATGTGTTCGCACTGCTTGTTTCCAGCTTGTTGACAAGTTGTCAACGGGTTGTTGACAACTTGCTACAATGTTGTTGAGCTCAACAGATTTGTTACAAGTTGTTCCAACAACTTGTTATATCGTCCTGCGAAAGTGCAATTCGACAATTTGTCAACAAGTTGTAAGTGACAACCTTGTAGCAACTTGATAAAATACCACCATTGTTACAACTTGTTGACAAGGCAGCTTGCTACAAGCCTGTTGCGAACACATCTCGTTGACAAGTTGTTAGGTTTTTACGGGTGTAGCTTGCTGGGAAATACACAGTCTCTGTACAAACCTTCCTCTTCTGTTCTACCATAGTTTTCTGTCGTTCTCCTAAACCAACGATGGTGGCTGCTGCTTGCACGACGTGAGATTTCTTCCGCAATCGTCGTTCCATGAGCTGTGAAAAAATAACAAAAACAACTAACTATACAACGTTCCTGTGACCCCCAATTTTCACAAACGTTATCCAAGTTTGTCTATTACTGTAAGTTGAATTGTGCCCCAATGTGCCATACTTTATTATTTTACACTGTCTAATGCCAGATAATTTTACTCATCAAGGGGAGAGACAGGGGGTGCCAGAATTCCCTTTTCAAATGGCAGAACTCCTTTTTAAAATGGCAGGACTCCCTTTTCAAATGGCAGAACTCCCTTTTCAAATGGCAGAACTCCCTTTTCAAATGCCAGAACTCCCTTTACAAATGGCAGAACTCCCTTTACAAACGCCAGAACTCCCTTTACAAATGCCAGAACTCCCTTTTCAAATGGCAGAACTCCCTTTTCAAACGCCAGAACTCCCCTTTACAAACGCCAGAACTCCCCTTTACAAATGCCAGAACTCCCTTTTCAAATGGCAGAACTCCCTTTTCAAATGCCAGAACTCCCTTTACAAATGGCAGAACTCCCTTTACAAACGCCAGAACTCCCTTTTCAAATGCCAGAACTCCCTTTTCAAATGGCAGAACTCCCTTTTCAAACGCCAGAACTCCCCTTTACAAATGCCAGAACTCCCTTTTCAAATGCCAGAACTCCCTTTTCAAATGCCAGAACTCCCTTTTCAAATGGCAGAACTCCCTTTTCAAATGGCAGAACTCCCTTTTCAAATGGCAGAACTCCCTTTTCAAATGCCAGAACTCCCATTTCAAATGCCAGAACTCCCTTTTCAAATGGCAAAACACCCTTTTCAAATAGCAAAACTCTCTTTTCAAATGGCAGAACTTGATTATCAAATGCCAGAACTCCCTTTTCAAATGCCAGAACTCCCTTTTCAAATGCCAGCAATTGGGTAGCAACAAACGTTATAGCCAGATTACTCACAATATCCTCCTGTCTCTTTCTCTCTCGCTCTATTCCGACGCCAAACTGCGTATGTTCACGTAACAACGAACCAACGATCTCTTTCTTTTTATCTTCAGAGACTTCAACATCAACGACCGTCTTCTCTCGTTTCATACTGAAGCCCTCCTGCAATGGAAATAAACAACACTTGCATAAATATAGCTATACCTAGAGTCTTAATACAAATCTTTAGGCAACGACAATCAGTATAGTAAAACACTTACAGGTAAACTAGACTTTCTTCCCTTCAATTTCTCCGTTCTCTCAACGACACGACCAGCACTGGCAGCTTTAGGACGATCATTTTCATCTTGCTCAATTTCGTCCTTGCTTTCCTCCGTATTTCGCTCAAGCTCTTCTTGAGCTTTGCGTTTGGCACGTTCTTCTCGACGTCGAGCCAGCCTTTCTTGAAGCTGTAGGAAATTATGAAACGGAAGTTTTAACTTTCATCGACACTCATTAGTCAATTAATAAAATCCTCGCCGCGCGACTGGTTTTTTATAGATTACAGATATTTCAGAGCACGCTCCCTATCAGGGCTTTTCAGTGACTGGTTACATTATGAATAGATAGAACCGAACTGACGTGAAGCAGACCGAGGTAGACTCATTCTCGTACCCAGAGCCCTTCTTACGCGCGGTGCAACGAGGGGCTCTGGCCAAATCCATAACCGGATACCATAAAAACATGGTAAGAAAACAATGTCCGGTGTTGAGGAGGCTTATATTCGGGGGGGGGGGGCTTATATTCGGGGGTTTACGGTATTTTATATTCATACGAAAGTAAATACAAGACAAGATTTTCATACAATAATTTATTTCAAACAGTTTGTTTAGACGTCGTCCTGACGTCGCCGGCTTTACATTCGTAAACTCCCTATTGCATGAATGACGAATAACATGCAGATCATACTTACAGATTCTCCTTGTTTAGATCGTTGTATCATAGTTTTCTCTCGTACAAGCGAGGATTCCTGTTCCGCCATCATCAACAATGACGTAGCGATGTCTTCTTCGTATTGCTTGTCGTCACGGCGTCTTCGTCTCGCTTCTAACTTCGCCTTGGCAAGGTTTCGTTGATGTTCCAGCGTCGCATTCAATGCCTGAAAATTGAAACATGAAATCACTACACATGTAAAAATCTCACAACTTGTCAACAAGATGTGTTCGCAACAGGCTTGTAACAAGCTTGCCAACGAGTTGTAACAATGCTGTTATTTCATCAAGTTGCTACAAGGTTGTCCCTCACAACTTGTTGACAAATTGTTGAATTGCAGGACGATAACAAGTTGTTGGGACAACTTGTAACAAATCTGTTGAGTTTAACCATCTTGTAACAAGTTGTCAGCAAGCCGTTGACAACTTGCCAACAAGCTGGGAACAAGCAGTGCGAACACATCCTGTTAACACGTTGTTGGAACAGCATTGTAACAACCTTGTTGATATTATCAGACTTGTTACAAAGTTGTTCGAACAAGTCCGAACATGAGTCGCAATATTGTTACAATCTTGTGTCGTCAACCTTGTAATATTCTTGTTATATCATGACTGTGTCAGACTTGTTGGAACGACCTTGTTCCAACAACTGGGAACAGGTAGTGCGAACAAAACTTGCCGACAACTTGTTTGCAGACTTGTAACAACTTGTTTGCAGACCTGTAACAACTTGTGCGTGTTTAGGGTGTGTAGAATTATACCAACTCCTTCATTTAGGGTGCATGCAAAACACCTCCTCAAAGCGTATTATACCACTGCTTATTATAAGCTCACTTGTTTTTTGGCTTCTTGTTGTCGTCTTAGCTCACTCAAAGCGGCATTAATTTCAGCTTCACTCGCCCCAGTCAAAAACCTGCGCTGTCTCTCAACTTCCAGCTCTGCTTCCATTTCGGCGAATTGTTTCTCATTTTCGTTTTCTGCTTTGCTTACGTCACTATTTCCCTCAAGCGTTTCTTCCTATATGGAAATTTGTAAACATACTAGCAGTTTATTTGCATCGCAAGAAAGTGGATCTAACAGGCAAGAACTCCGTTAAAATTATAGTATAGTAAAACTTTATTTAACCACGCTTCCCTCATCACCCATGGATGATTTTCATGAGGGGCGTCACCGCGTCACACTAATTACATTCTAAAAACTAATATAAATTAAATATGAAATAGAATAACACAGAATAACAAATACGTAGATAAAAAAAGTTAAAAAACCAAGACTATTCGATGCCTGACTCTGTAGCACACATTATTTTATCAAATTTTTGAAGCTACTTAAAGATTCTGTTTGCTTTGCCTGCGTAGGTAAACTATTCCATAGAACAGCCCCGCTATATCCAAAACTCTTTTTTAAATATTTAGTACGTGGTTTAGGAACTGAAAGATTTATATCAGCATTTCTGAGATTATAATTAGTACTAAGATTTATGTCCCTTGTACTTTAAGTTCGGAGCTGAGTGGTTGTTTAATATTTTAAACATCAAGACCGATTTATTCATTTTATGTCTTGCAGAAGTTATGAGGAATTTGTTGTTATATAATTTATAAATAGTAATTATGTATAGCTGTTGCAAGTAGTTATAGTAGCCTAATTTTCAGTTCACAGATATTTATATATATTGGTACGCAAAAAATTCCAGTTCATCATTTTTGCAGCACTTTTTTTTTGACAAGCTTTATTTGCTCGTGTGTAAGGCAAAAGATTGACAATTTTTCCTTGGCAAGGAGACATGTTCCAAAGCTAGTCATACCAGCCTTTGGACAAGGAAAATTTGTTGGTGTGTACGGTCGCCAAGCCAAGGCAAACTTGAAAGTGGACAAGAAATATTTCTATTAGGCCGTGGGCTGTTGGCCAAAATTATTTCGCTTCGTGGCACCCATGTTGGAAATACTTGGTGTGGGGTTCATTTGAAAGGCATATAGGTACATCATTACCAAAAAAAGTTCCCAAGAAAAAAAGTTGCCCAATACCGAGAAAATGGGTGATCAATGATTATCCTCTATTAAATTGTACTACAGCAAAAAATGGGAAATGTTATAATTCAATTACAATAAAAATGACTTGCATTATCGGAAAACGCACAAAAAACCGCATATAAGACTTTTAAACAGTTTTTTTATTTTTCAAATAGTCTTTGAGTTATTGCTGTTTTAAATGTGAAAATTCGACCAAAATGTCGCAATAAGGACTGGGTACTAGGTCCAAAACGCGTTTTTGACAGCGTTTTTTAGATATAAAAAACTGTTTAAATGTCTTATATGTACGTTTTTGTAAGCTTTGTGATGATGCAAGTCATTTTTTGTTGTAACCGAACACAAAATTTCACATTTTCTTGCTGTAATACAATTTAATAGAGGATAATCACTGATCACCCATTTTCTCGGTGTTGGGCAAGTTTTTGCTGGAGAACTTTTTGTGGTAATTAAGCATCTATGGTTCTATGAATTGAACCACAGAAAATCTATTTCCCAGGGGGGTGCCACGAAATTGCTTTTCTAGACAAACAAACAACATGGCTGCCATAAACGTCAAGTGTAAACAGAGACTTGGGTTTTTGAATTTATGTCACTCATTTCCAGCGTAATGCAATATGGTGTTGCGAATTGCGTCGTAAACTGTAAATTTCTGCGAATATCATACCTGGTCTTTTTGCAAGATAACAGCAGCTAAATTATCCACAATACATTCTTGTCTGATGCGTCTTTGTTCATCCTTGATAAGATTTAAAACAGCTACTTCCTAAGATAAAAACAAGTGAAATGACGGTTAATTGAGTATGAACTACCAGACATGAGTATGAACTACCGAGAGTTCGAACAGAAAGGTTTAAAAGAGTGTTCGTTAATAGATGTCTTTTTAACTTCATATGATATTTTTTAAATTAAAAATCAACTTCTTAGGAACTACATTAAACATTATAATAATGGTATTTTAGCTCTATTAATGAGTAATATCAATACTAATACAGTAATTAGTATAATAATTATCGATAAGTAAGTGCAAATTGGAAGCCCGCACGTTTGTTGTGAGGTGTTGCTTTTAATATTTTAATAAAGATTTATACATAATTTTCACAAAGTGTTAATGTTTACTGTAGGTATAGTATATTGGTACTGCATTGCCATTGTCATTTGAATCATTCTAAGTTGCGTCATAACTTTTCAAATATTGGCGTGCAGTTTCTGCAGCGGATATTTCAAACCTTTTGATCGATTTCCTTTGAGTCCTTATACATTGTATAAATTATTTACTTTGTACATTGTAGCTGCTTGCTTTAAAGTGCCTATATTACCCATTTTCTTTTACTTTTTATTCGAAAGGTATAGTTGAAAACAAATATAAATTCGATTTTTTTTTGAAAAAAAATTTTCCCCCCCATGATTTTAATGCCAAATTGTTGCAAAATTATAATGTTGGCCGAGCGCATCGGGGACTGGTAACCTGTGACGTAGCACGAGGGACTCATGTTAGTCGTGTTGTGTTTGCTACAGTACAAATATACGAACAGAAATGCTATTTGAAGCTTATTTTCGGATTATTTCATTCAAATTTTACGTCGATAATGTCTACAACGTCTTCCTGGTCTCGCTCATTGAAACGGAGATTATGCAAGCTTCAGAAAGTGACGATGGCGATGTAGAACAGTCAGAACAGACGAGCTTTGCTGATGTGGAACCGTACTCAAGCGAGCCTATAGCGGATGAAGAATGGAAGAGTACAGACAACGAAAAGCAGAAAAAGAACAAAAGCTTGCAAGTTAATGAAATTGCTAACTTAAATTCTGAACCGATAAACTTCATCCATCGCGAAGTCCCTTTTAAATCTTTTAATTGCTCTTTCCAAATGAATTACGAATATATAAAATTCACATGTCTTTTTCATGAGGAAATTTTACTGCATGTATACTATATATCTCGCTTTAAAGAATATCTTTGTTGATTGCTGCAATAGAACACCTTAATATAGGCTTATGGCTTAGGAAGTGTTCGCATTTCAACATTTTTATCTGCATTGCTATGGTAATGCAAAAACTCGTGCTTGTAGGGCTATTGAGTAAAGTTGCAGAGGCAATATATATTGAAGAACCATAATAACCAAATATCGAAAAAATACAAATAGGAAATTATCCAAGTACTTTCAAGAGCGATTTTTTATACATTCAAGGGCGCGCTAATTATTTTCTAAATTCAAGCCTTAGGACTCTCCTCAAGGATTTCCTGAACTTCATGTTTTGTGTGAACATGGCAATATCCAAAATGAGAATATCAGGTTTGAGAGGTTACAACAGGATAAGCTATAAAAGCGCGGAACTACGCCGCAGACGGGATTTTATCAAGAAAACTATCAAGAAGACAAGACAGTCTGAAGCAGTTAACGCATCAAAGAAATAAACTATGTCTGCATGTGCAACGTAGTTTGAAGGTTTGTTTCAATGATACATTCTTATACAGGGTGTATAAAAAAAAAACTGAACAGATTCGAAATTGCTCTCAATTTCGCAAAACACCTATTTGTATCCGGTTTTTTATACATGTAGCTTCTTAAGGTACTTATAATGTAGAATAATGAAAAAAATTTCTCAAACTCAAATTTTGTGAACCAGGGGGGGTGTCTCTTACAACAAACTAAAAATGGCTCGCGCACAAAATTTAAAAGTTGTAATCATATTTTGAGTTTATAGATGGAAACTTGGTTGGGTTTTGAATTACTGTACAATATTCCAGACAATTTGGTTTAGTTCGCATGCTTAATTAATACTTTTACCTAATTTGCATATTGCTAACATATGCAAATTAGGCAAAGGCATTAATTAAGCATGCAAATAGCTGATTTTTAGGAAAAATGTAACTTTGCGTGAATATTTAAAGGCTTAAACTAAACCAAATTGTCTGAAATTTTGTACAGTAATTAAAAACCCGACCAATTTTCCATCTATTAACTCAAAATATGATTACAACTTTTAAATTTTGTGCGCGAGCCATTTTTAGTTTGTTGGAAAAGACACACCCCCCTGGTTCACAAAATTTGAGTTCAAGAAATTTTTTTCATTATTCTACATTATAAGTTCCCAAAGAAGCTATATATATAAAAAACCGGATACAAATAGGTGATTTGCGAAATTGAGACCAATTTCAAATCTGTTCAGTTTTTTTTGATACACCCTGTATATTTTAAGATTTTTTTGCAACTATTCAGTTACTTTTATTCTCTGCATATGGGCTCTTGGAGTATACAGGGTACATGAGTGCAGTTTCTGCAGCAAATATTTCGAAGGGCCTTCCCTCGAAAAGTCAAAGTTCTACTTGTTTTTTCAGGTAGTTGCCGATCCCTATCAACGAAAGCTTGCGTTCAAACATTTTTAGACTGCTCTTCCCAAGAGAATTAGAAATAAAGTTTATAAAATTCACATTACCATGCCAGAGAAAAACTCTTACTGTAGCAGAGGCCGCGGAAGTATTTCGAAAGTAAAGGGGCATTGGTCAAAAGGGCACTTTTGTATATGACCAAAATCAAACGATTTTATGTCGTTCGCGAGCCGAACGAAACTTTTTGAAAATATGGAGTCTTTATAACGTCGGAAATAGCCTTTACAGAGTCTTTACTACTGCAAAAAGGCACCTTCTTTCCACCAAAATCCCAAAGGATAAAACCCGGATATGGTTCAAAAAACTTTTTCGTGCCTTTATAAGTCATATCCGAGCGTTTCATCCATGCGGATATAAATGTTAAATGACGGTTAACAAGAACACAAGTCATCTGTCCATCCGCGTTTTATCCTAACCCTTTAAAAGAGTATCTTTGTCTTTATACTGCCGCAATATAACGCCTTACGAAGTGTACGCATTTCAACATTTTCAGCTTCATTGCTATGGCGATGCTAATTCGAGGGCTGAAGTTGCATAATATTTTAAAAATATACAAATAGGAAATGATTCAAGTTCTTTCAAAAATTATTTTTTAAACATGCAAGGTTGTTTTCTAAATTCAAGAACTCTCAAAGGCTCTCAAGGATTTTCAAGGCTTTTTCTGAACTGAATGCATGTTTCGTGCCAACATTGCAATATCCAAAATGAGGATATCAGGTTTGACAGGTTACTGGAGCAGCTATACAAGTGCGAGGACGGGATTGTACCAAGAAAAGCTATCAAGAAGACAAGCCAGTCCGAAGAAGTTAACGCACCAAAGGAATAAACTGTGCTACGTATTTTTAAGGTTCGTTTCAATGTTACATTCTTATATTTCAAGATTTTCTAGAACTATTTCGTTTCATTTTAAAATGTGGACTGTGTTGACATTATTCAGGGCTGGATCTACCGTGGGGGTACAGGGGGATGCGCACTCCACCTAGTGGTGTCTAGCAGCCCCCCCCCCCTAGAGAAGTCGAACACCACCCTAAAAACTCTTGACCATACATTTTCTGCTTTTTGAATAACGATTAGCGGAACTTCATTTGTGAACTCACGAGAAAATACTTAAAATGCTTTTTTATATCAAGTTTAATTAAATATGTAAACATGTCGAGGTTGTTATACAGCTATATTTTCAAATATACTGTACTTTAACAAGTACTGTACTGTGCTACAGCAACTGTCCAGTCAGCCATATACGACTAACGTGATAAAAAGCCGATATAAACGAAAGATAATGTAAAACGTAACAGAACGGCGAACAAGCAGATTCGGCAATCTTAAACAACGGTAATGTAGAGATAGTATAGGGTTGCAGACTGCAGAGGAGAATGGGCAGTAAGGCTCCCTCATGCACCACCCCATGGAAAACCTACACCCCTCCTTGCAGATGGGGCTAGATCCACCACCCTATGTTTATGTGTGTTATTTATTTTTCTTAGTTATGGCAACGAAACAAAAGGTCATGCCTGTGCTTCTCTGCTGTTTGCTTTTGACAAGCATTGCAGTGCACGCGAGTGGAAATGTTCTCTTGAGATTATGCCTAACTGCCTGTAATAGAGGCCCAGGCGCCATTGATACATTCTGTGGAATCATTCGTGACGAGGAGATTAGGGTGGAATGTTCCACAATCGTATTTGCTGGACGACGTAGATGCAGAAGATTTTGTTTGCAAAACTTTTGATGATTGTTACTATATCGCAACCGGAAGACTACTTTGGTGAAGATATCGTTGGCAAAACAAGACTTTATAAACTACTTTTCCTTATCATGGCATTAAAACAATCTCGTTCCCCGAGCCTGCGATCCTCGGGAAGGAACGCGAGGCTCTGGGATAATCCGTTTCAGGGAGGAATCTGATTGGCCATTGAAATGGAATGCGTAGTTCAATCTTAGCCAGGATTCTTGGCTTCCGGTAACGGATTATCCCAGAGCCTTCGATTCCTTCCCGAGGATCGCAGGCTCGGGGAACGAGATTGGGCATTAAAATCATTAGAAAAATACAACTTGGCCTTTATAGTTTATTAGCATGCATTTTTGTTGGACCTATGAATGCGAGTTGTGTAATATTGCAAATCCGACTATGAGGACTGGACTAGATTTCAAGTCCGTACAATTTGTAAATATTGTGACAGCTTTTAAACAATATAATCTCATTAATATTCTGCCTTCAAAAATGGTTCAATAAATTCAGTAGGAAACTCTATCCAGACAATCTATTCCTGGTTTATAAGTCAGTGCCAACATCATTCTGGTCGTGGCCAACATGTTTAATAAGTTATAACGTATGTGTCAATGTCTTAGGGAAATGTGTTGGGGTTGGTTGTTCGAATTAAGTCAATTAGCTTAACCCTAGGTTCACCTAAAATTCTAAGCAAACTTCCCGACAGCTTAATTGTCTATAAATTTGAAAATGTTTCTTCAGAAATCTTGGCTGGGTCGATAGGAGTTTACTTCTCTGAAGTCTTGAAATAAACAGACGTGCAGAAATACACAAACCAGAACAGGAGGTTAAGTTTTAAACCGAAGGGCGAAGGTTAGCGCTAACTCTGCACTTTTGTCTTTGAAGAACCGACTGGAGTATAATATCCATTATATTATGTATTTAATTAAGTCGCTGAAGGTTCTAGCAAGTATTAGTTTCCCAGTTGCTGTTCAAATCCTACAAGTGGTCGGATTAAAATCTTGCCTCATTCGCATTGGAGAAGACGTCGAAGTTCTCCTTGTATTTTTCAGGTAGTTGAATCCTTATCAATCCATATCCAAAGCTTTTCCCCTTAGTGACTGCCCTTGCTGGACTTCTAGGGAGAACAGTCCAGACTAAACACAAGAGCTATCCAGTATAAATAAAGTTATTTTAGTTAAGATTTATTCCTGAGTAGTAACATGCATTGCATGCACCCATCAATAAGGGTAGCCCTACTTTAGATGTAAAGGGAATGGTTTACAATTGATAAAGTTTATAATCTATTTTTTATTTATTCGCTTTGCTATATCATCATGTGTATAAGTGACTGCATATAATGCATGGCTGGGAAACCACAGCAGCTATTGCCAATTACCGTGGCCCATTATATATAGTACAGATTTCAGAAACAATTTACACAGTACAGTTACACACACAATACTTGGACAATAGTCATTTACAGAAAGTCTAGAATTCTTCATATATTGGGAATGGAATTGCAGTTGATGACACAGTAACATCGTACGTATTTTGCAATGCTTGAATGTAGTAACTGAAAAGTAGTTTCTTGAATTCTGTAAATGTTCTGTACATATACATACATATAATGATCTAGTATTAAAGGCATAAACTTTGGGGGTACAAACGTTCATAAAAGCAAAACAACTATTAGCACTAGCTACGTATAGTAAACCAACAAGCTTAACTACATATCATTTTGTGATATAAACAATCCCAGAATGTTCTGAAAACAGGATGTCGTCATCAATCCGTTTTACAATGGAATAAACCAAGTAAACAGCGTGGTAGCACTCGTACAATGTATCTAGAACGATACGACATGGTCAATTCGCCATCCGCTTCAGCAAATAGCTGCATCAGGCGCATATAATTATGGTTGTGGATGTAAACACTGTAATTGTTTAATATTGGCATGCATATCGGGACCGAATGACAGCGGATTACATATTCAATGATATGTTATTATTCGTTTCAGCAAGTGTTTGTATTCCATATCCGTTGCATTGTTTCTTGTTTATATCGATGTCAGGTGACACTAGAAGTTTGTAGGTTGTTATAAATATGCGGACAAGTTGGGTGTGCTTGCAGAAGAGTTTGTGTCAAGACTGAATCAGGACAACAAGACAATTTCAAGAAGTGAACGTATACTGGACAACGTGAATTGAAGGTTTGAGCCCATGCTTTATTGTTATACATGAATTTGTGGTTAGAGCTCGACAACTGGCCTCTCTGGCTCAGTTGGTTAGAGCGCTGCACCGGAATCGCAGGGCCGTAGGTACAATTCCTACCAGAGCCCCAGAGGGTCTATAATGTATAGTTGGATTTTTCGCAACATTTATTAGACCTGGTTAGGTCTATAATAAATGTATAAAAATTCACACTCGATTCACATTTAATTCACTACTAAAAATCCACTCTAAATTACTTTTATCGAGTATATAGGATACCCAAAGTCCTGCACTGTTACATATTAATATTTTGTGAAATGTTTAGGTTGGTTTAAAAATCATACACATGTCGTACCCTGTCTCAAATTTTGAGCGAGAAATGCTACTGGGTATTTGGTTTATCCTTGGAACATTAGTTTCATGTAGAAATTGCAGCTCAATGGATTTATCGGTCCATATTTTTGTTTTATATAGTGATGGCCACAAAGTTCGTGTACCTTTTCATATGCTGTTTGCTTTTGGCAAGCATGGCTGAGTCTCGTAAGAGTTCCCTCGGGAGCTCCGCCAGATTGAGACGGTGTGTGAAGACTTGTGATACTGGCGAAAAAGCAATCGAAAGCTTCTGTGAATCAATCCCAAAGGGCAGGTTATTCAAACGTGCCAGAAGAGCTTGCTTTTCCGTTGTGCATTCTGAACCAACTGTTTGTAAAAAATTCTGCGTCCGGTTCTTATCAAAGCGTGGTTAGTGTGGCGAATTAGCGCAGGACGATTACGATGGCAATTATTATTGGAAAGACTTTAGCCTTTATTGTTTAGAGACAGCAGACATGTATTTACTGAGACTTATAATATTAGAGACATATGTAAGCAAGTTAAATAAGTGATCAAATAAATAAAGTTTCAATAGATGCAAATCATGTTTTCGCTTCAAATATCAAACGGACCACAGTGGAAAAGGCGACAAGAAGGGGCCACCACCTAATTTCTTACAATTTCTGAAAGCCTTTGAATAAGGCAATTCGGAGTTTTCCACTGCGCCACAATAAACTGTCATTAAATCAGTTTTGTACTAGCATATTTCTTCTGCATGTGTATAAAGCAAAATAAGTATAGGTAATCATGCGATGGCGAGTACAATTAGGGATTAATAGTACGAGTGATGTATGGAAATTTTGCCAAAATTGGACGAGCCGCAGGGGCGAGTCCAAATTGGCAAAATTTCCAAACATGACGAGTACTATTAATCCCTAATTGTACCAGCTACTTGTTTATTATTAGCATGACAACATTGGATAATTCTCAATGTCAACATCATATTCTCTCGCCAAAGCCCAGTCCTGCCAGACTTTCAACCAAAATTTGGTGCTTTTGTTCGTATTTTCATTTAGTTCTTTTGCTTTAAGTTCCTCTAGGGCAATTTCACTTGTGTTTCAATAAATTTCCGCCATTTTGTTTGTTTTGGGAATCAACCGTGTTTTTACTTGTTGTTCTTTAAGCAACTTTTGCATATTCAAATTATGTTTGAACATTTAAATACCCTCATATGCATATCCTAATTGTTCAGTCTCATGAGCACACCCGAGTTGTATGATATTCAAAATATTCGAATTCAAAATACCTTTTCAGCCAAAATATTTTCAACAGCTCGACTCTCAGTGTTCTGCTTCTCCTGAAGATTAGCAACCAACATCACACCAAGTTCATCTTTCAAGTTAGGCTCTGGTATATTCTTGCCTGTCAACTCTTCTTTGACATTCAGAACTTTGAGAACAATTCCATCTTTTAAGATTCTCATTAATTTCATTTGACGATCTGCTGCCCGCAACACGTTTTCGTCTTTTTCTTCCTGATGAGAGAGGAATAATATTTTTGTAATAAATTCCATAATGATAAGATATTTTGATCACTTAGTTTAGAACTGATAGAGTTATCCAGTATTAATAAAGTTAGTTTAGGTTTCCTCTTGTAGTACTGGATCAATAAGGAATGACCCTTACTGGGCCTCTATAGGGAGAACAGTTTAAAACTGATATAGAGCTATCCATCTAGTAATAAAGTTAGTTTCATTTAGGTTTCCCTCTGTAGTAACACTAGATCAATAAAAGACGACCTTTACTGTACCTCTCTAGGGAGAACAATTTGGAACTAATAGAGCTTTCCAGCATAAAGAAAGTTAGTTTTCTTTAGGTTTCCACCTGTAGTGACACTGGATTAATGAGATGACCCTTACTGGACCTCTAAGGAGGACAGTTTAGAACTAATAGAGCTTTCCAGTATAAATAAATAAATAAAGGTAGTTTAGTTTAGGTTCCCCTCTGTGGTAACACTGGAACAATAAGAGATGACCCTTACTGGACCTCTAGGGAGGACAGTTTAGAACTAATAGAGCTATCCAGCATAAAAATGTTAGTTTAGTTTGGTTTGCATTCTTACCTTGGAGTTAAATTCTGAGCCAGCGTTCTTTGATGCTCTCACTGTTGCGGTCTTCCACTCCTTAAAGTCGCGATAAAGATCCGCCATTTTCTCAACTCGTTGTTTGTTGTTAAGGTAGCTGGCTGCAGCTACTGCATCAGCATCACTCTCACTTACATCAAGTAACTCGCTCAGCATCTAGGGTGGAAAACAATTCATTTTGTTGAAATAATGGCAGTGGTGGTAGTGGTGGCGTCAGCAGTGATCAATACCATGATGGTAGTTGATGATGGTAGTTGATGATGGTAGTTGATGATGGTAGTTGATGATGGTAGTTGATGATGGTAGTTGATGATGGTAGTTGATTATGGTAGGGATGATGGTAGTTGATGATGGTATTTGGGATTGATAGTCATTATGGTAGTGATGATGGTAGTTGATGATGGTAGTTGATGATGGTAATTGATGATGGTAATTGATGGTAGTTGATGATGGTAGTTGATGATGGTAGTTGATGATGGTAGTTGATGATGGTAGTTGATGATGGTAGTTGATGATGGTACTGATGTTGGCATTGATGATGGTAGTTGATGATAGTATTAGGGATTGATAGTCATTATGGTAGTGATGATGGTAGTTTATGATGGTATTAATGTTGGTATTGATGTTGGTATTGATGATGGTAGTTGATGATGGTATAGATGTTGGTATTGATGTTGGTAGTTATGATGGCATGATGATGGTATTGAAAATGGTAGTTGATGATTGTATTGATGTTGGTATTGACGATGGTAGTTGATGATGGTATTAGGTTTGATGATGGTATTGGATTGATAGTCATTATGGTAGCCATGATGGTAGCAGTTTTGGTGATGGTGAAAATGGTATTGGTAACGATTGTTTTGCTGGAATAATGGTAGTAGTGGCCTGCTCCCAGCCAGGAATTTCGAAACATCTTCAGGCTGCGAGCAAGCTATGATGGTAGGTCAATACCTTAATTTCAATCGAGTGTTTCTTCTCAACTTCCTTCAAGATGGCTTCGTGTACAGCTACAACACCTCCTTGCTGTAACTCCAGAGCTTCTTGCGATAAAATATCCTTTTCCTTGTCTTGTTCGTTTTGTAGTTTAGCCTCGATTGCATATCGTTGTTCGTCTTCGTTGGACACAATTATGGCGGCTTCTTTCTCCGCTCGTTTTGCCTTCAGCGCGGCCAACCGTTCTCGCGCGAGTTGTTCGTGTCGCGCACGGTCTTTACGATAACTAAGAAACAAAAATAAAATTAATTCCGTGTGGAAATACGTCATAAGTGGCATAGTTGTTATAGTGTATGCGCACGTCTTCAATATCTGTGACTGGGCTTTGATTCTTGCAATATGCAGTGGTGTGATTATAATTTCACCTCACGAGCGCATGTGAGAAAAATGCTTCCAGTTTGACTCGATTGATCAAAAGAGATGCTCCTTACTGGACCTCTACCCACGTAAAAATCTCAC